GCGTTCTAGTAAGGCTCAAAGCTAGATAAAAACCCGATAGAAGTAGAAAAGCTCATCTTTCATGATTATAGATTAGGCTTTATTTTACTAGATCTATTTACTCTATTTCGTTAAAGGTGATGAAGGAGTGGAAGTAGGATTTTTCCACTAAGATATGTATAGAGCTAAGGCTTCCAATGAATTTTGCATAGCCTTGCTTTCCCAACGGTTGTTCTCATCTAGGTTGGACTGCAGTTTCGACCTTGCTTACGTCTTATCAACATCTCTGGCAGAAGTCGAAACGTGACAAGGCAGCATGTGAGCTTGGCGTATTAAACACTCGGCCACATTGTCATGAATGTCCTTGGGTCACAGAGCAAATGTGGACTTCAGGGAAGACCAGGCCTTTTTTCATATCACATTCTTTGGTGGGATTGTAGATTAAGAGAATGTGTTTTTGCTGTATCAATAGACTACATTACTTATTTTCCCTATATAAGTAGGGTTTCAAAACTACTAGTACTGGTTTGACCTCATTTTCCCAACTTGCCTCCTGAAACAAAGGAACCCTGAAGAACGAACCCAGTCATGCTACTTCTGCCATATTATTTATCAAACTTTCATATCTCAGAGCATTTACTTAATGCATTTATAAATATTTCACTGGTACATAGAATCGCTAACCTTAGCATTGATATGCAACAGTTCAAAGAGAAACATAAAGCAAATTCTCTCAAACAATTTTAGTCCCCTAATATTATTTTATAAAAAACATTTTCGGATCCGCACTTCTCTCTATCTTCGTGTAATCTACTTTCTTAAAAATGCGCACCTCTTCATGTGGGCTTAGTAAACAATAGGCATCAGTTTTGCCGCCCTTCCTTACCAAACTTCCTCCAAAATACCCTTGGAACACTTGCCTTATATGCACATATCTCGAGTCAATACTCCCTTTCTTCCTTTTATAAAGGAAGAGTCAAGAACATTGCAATGTAATCAAAATTCTAAGCTCAATAAATTTCATTTATAATAAATTTGTTGCTATTTTAAATAATGCTACACATTAACCTTTAATTTACTTGAGTTTATTAACCCTTTGATTATTTTTAGTCTACCTGTTTTCGCAGCGCGTATTTTGCGTATTTTATTTCGTCGCAGCAATGACCTTCGTCCCCAACTTTCCCCCTTCTCTTATAAGAAAGATAAAGGATGATGATCAAGGGGATGATAAGAGAAAAACCAAGGAAGAATATAAGAAGATGAAGGAGCTGGAAGAAGCTAGGAAGCTGGCAGTCATGCCCGCCATGAAAGATGAAGAGGGACGGGATATCAACCCGCACATTCCCCAATATATCATGCAGGCTCCTTGGTACTATGGTTCAATTCAGCCTACGCTCCAGCATCAAAGAATACAAGATGAGCACAAGAGAGAAGAGGCTTCAGGAAAAATGAGAGGTTCGAATGCCTTAGGCGAATGGTATCAAAGAGGACCCCTTCAACAAAGTTCAAAACAAAAAAAATTTGTTCCCGGGGCCTGTGAAAATTGTGGTTCTTTGACACATAAACGAAAAGAGTGTATGGAAAGGCCACGCAAGGTAAGTCTAAGCACTTAATTTGGCCACTGGAAGAAACCCTTGATGAAATTAATCCGCTCAACTCTTCATCCTTTATTCAGATTGGTGCTAAGTTTACAGGCGCAGATATTGCTTCTGCAGATTTTCAGCAGTCAGATCCTAACCTTGGGTTTGAGGCCAAGAGAGACAGATGGAATGGATATGACCCTTCTGAGCACACCTATCTAATGAAAGCATATCAAAGGCTTGAGGAAGCACGGAAACTGGTAAAGGCTAAAAAGCTTGAGGAAAAACTAGCTGCTGCGGCTAAGACAAAGGCGGAAGGCGTATGTTTAAGCTTTAATGAAAATGATATTATTATTTGATCTGATTTCTAATAAAGAAATTATATTTTTATGCTAGCTTTAGGAAATATCAATAAATCTTGAAGACCAGTCAGAGTCGTCCTAGGTTGCATAAAGTTATGGCTTGGTATTTGAATTTCACAGCACTTATATGGGTGTGCTTTGCAATGCCAGAGCTAGATGGACTTCAGTGGTATCATGAGGCTCACTAATTTCATGCCCAATTATATAACGGGGGTTTCCAAGGCTAAATTTGACTATCCTTCTTCACTACATACAGCCTGAGGTGGCTATAACCCTTATTTAAAATTTTACTCTCTGGTTTATGATTTGCTTGTTATATGACGTACATAATTGAAATTTGCTCTATTAAAATGTTGTACTCCATTGGGCTGATGTCAGGATGAAATAGTTGAAGTCCAGTACCACAATCGTTAAATAATCTTGACTCATTACCTACTTATGCTCTAGACGTCTTAATGTCTTTTGCAGATTGATTAACATTTTGATCGTATGTACTGTTTCAAAGTGTGAGGTGAAGAGATTCCATGCCTTAGGTACTTTGAACGATATAAATGTGCAACTTATCCCCTCGGAGGATTCATATATCTATTATTTTATTGCCTGACTCAGCCCACAGTCAAATTTATTGTTGCTTAGATAATTTTTTTGCTTATTATCTTTTTTTCTATATGTAGATATAATAATAATTATAAAGCTAAAATCATACCGAGTTAACCACCAAAATTTAATAATCATTACTAATTCTTACTATAGTTTCGAGAAGTGGTAAGTTTCTTGCATGATTTCACTCTAACTTTGGGGCTATCATGATAATCGAATAACTGCCATTTCTACTACAAAGTACATTTGTATTTCTCTATTCAATCTGTTTCATTTCTAATAGGAGGAGCCAGCAGCATCTGCTGTTAAGCCTAGCCTCGAGGATGATGCAGATCTAAATGGAGAAGATGACGATGACAGATATGGTGACGAACTCGATATGCCTGGACAAAAATTTGACAGTAAACAACGCCAGTCTATTCGAAATCTTCGCATACGAGAGGATACGGCCAAATACTTATTCAATCTAGATCCTAATAGTGCATATTATGATCCAAAGACTAGGGCAATGCGCGAGAATCCTTTCGAGAATACTGGCAAGCCAGAAAGTGAAGTACCCTTCGCAGGAGACAATTTTGTTCGCTTGGATGGAGAAACATATGAGATGGTTCGAGGCCAAGTATTTGCATGGGAAATGCATGACAAACTTGGCCTGGATGTTCACCTTCAAGTAAATTTTACACTATATAGTTTTAGTACTAATTTCAATGAGAAAATTTATTTAGTTTTTATCTAAACTATTTATAGGCAGATCCAACACGTCTTGAATTACTTAAAAGGCAAGTATCTACAGCG